CAACTTTGTTGGTGCCTTTTAGGGTCCTAAAACACGTTTGGGATGTCAACAGTGAAAACACCGATGCTCTGGAGATATTCAAGATGGCAATATGACCGCCAATTATGGTCAAAATGGAAAAACAGAGGTCGCCGCTCCCTGCATCAGGGATAAGGGAGACTGAAGTCACCGGGGAGATGATTATAGACCATATAATAATAGTAATATAATAATAAAAACACAAATTGCTATAATAGGGCGACACTTTCATATAGTTTCTACACAAACCTCTTTCTGTGCAACCCTTTTTTACCATGAGCTACCCCCGTAGAGGAATCTCAGATTATTTAGGTTTAGAACGACGAGGAATCCATTTCAACCATCGGCGTCATCGAATTTCGTCTCCTAAGGGTCGACAAGATAGTAGGGTGACGCCAATCTGTCGCCTTCTAATGAGGTGTGTTGCCTGTTAGCATGGGCGTCGCCAGGATTTTTTCTAGAGGGGGGCAAAACAATTTTTTGCCCAAAAATGCTTGTATTTCTCAACACATTCTCGATTTATCAGTTTTAGAGGGGGGCAAGGACATTTTGCCCCCCCCCCCAACTCATTAAATTTACACCACTTTGTCTTCGCGCCTCTTTTTCTTTGTTTTTCTTTTTTGTTTTCGCTTTTCCAGGGGGGGAAGTGCCCCCCCCCCTCCTTGCCCCCCCCCCCCCCGCGACGCCCATGCCTGTTAGCAAAAACGCCCATTGGAGAAAATAGATAAGTTAGCGTAACGTTGTCACTTTACCTATTGATTTCTTCAGGAGCAGCTTGATGCAGGTCTGGGAACCGAACGACTGGTTCTTCCGCGTTCCTGTGTCCATCATCATTCCGCTCCTCTGTGTGACTAAAAACAACAATCATGCAGAATAGCAAGACCCCCAGCACAAATAACATGCCAAGGAATGCTTCATAAGCCCAGACCAACCAAATCGGCAGTTGATTCGTAAATGCGAGTGTCACAAACACAACTAAAAAAACAAATGGAGAAATTAACACACACAGCCAGCAAATTTCGCCGGCGGTCGAGCCTTGGTCGGCAGACCCTGTCGAAGGCGCAGTCGTCCCGTCGGTACAAGCTGCAACGGTTCCGTTACTGTCTGCCATCTTTGCAGGTTTAATTTGACGTCGTCATGAACACCCGTGTCATATAAAATTAGGACTCCTTATAAAGAGTGGGATTAGTCTCTTTGTCCATAAACTCCAACTCTGGTATGTGATTTTGACCCTGTTCCAATTCCGTCCACTTAATGAATGCGCGATACAGTAGTCCGTATGGAGGCCGATGGTTACACTGTTCCGGTTCCACTGAATATTTTTTTACCGGTTTCACAATGGTGGTACCGTCTTGCCTCCAACTTGCACCGTTCATGACGTGTTTGAACAGCAAGAAAAAACGACCCTCAGCTTTACACTGCCTTGTGTGGAAAGTACTTGCACCAACCCAACAAAAGTCAATAATACAAGTGTTATCTCCGAAGCCAATCAGTTTGTGAATGTCTATTTTAGTGTGCTAACAGTCAGTTTTCGATATCATATATAATCTCACCCGGAAATATATTGTGGATGGGACACACGAGCTGTACTGTACTGACAGTTGTCGTTTTCACGTTTACGTATCCGTACCGTGCGTGTGGGTGCACACCGGTAAATCCATCCGCCAAGCTCATGACTAAAAGTTATGACCTCAAAATATTCTATATTAGAGAGTTCTGAGCGCCGCAAAATTGGGAAATTGAAGAGATATGGTAATAAACCTCTGGCCCGGACTTGGGGCTTCCAATTCTGAGCATTTTGGATGCTATTGGGCTCAGAAGTGGCGCTATTTTGCCATGTTGTGGAGGGATCGTTTTTCAAGATGGCTACTTTTCCGCTTTGGGGAAAATAGGGGTGCTCTTCTTTGGGTGAGAATATCTCAAAAAGTCAATGGTCAACCCAACAAAAAATGAAAAGAAAACGAAAGATGACATGTTGATCATCATTTTTCTGTGCAGCTTGAATACCTGTGAGAGTTCTGAGTATTTTTAAAGGAATTTTGAAGTATGGGCATTTAGCACTAGTGTCTATGGGAATTTATTTGCACTGTTGCATCCGTATGCATTACGAGCGGGGCGCTGGGCCTTATTATGGGTAAGGGCTGATCCGCTTCACAGAATCTGAAAGGAAACACGCATGGCATTCTGGGTAGCTTATTGTGGCCTTTGCATGCAGCGCTTGCTGCATACCGGACGGGTGCAATGAACTAAATCAAGTGAGAATTTCCACTTCAGCTGATTAGCATTAAAAGTGCTACCACGATTTCTAAAAAGGAGGCCGTTTGGCTTTTAAAAAAATTGGTGGAATTGTGTAAAATGTAGCAGAGGGTCAACTTCCTGGTTCTGGGCTTGCATCTGAGAGCAGATTTAATACAATCACGGTTGGGTCCTATTTGCCTGAGAAAGTGGATGGATGCCATTTGTAAAATGGCTGCATGCAGTCTTGGGAAGGATCACTGTTCGGGAGGTGATTATGTTTTGTTGTGAATATTTAAAAATGTAATTGGCCACCCCACCAGATGAAAAAAGAATTAATTTGTGTTTGAGAAACCCTGCAAGCCGTCTGGGCCCAGTCGACTTGCATGTTATTTGGCCCAAAACTTTGTTGATTTTACACTGTTTTCAATGGGGTTCGAATTGGTTCAGTGCAGAGAAGGAGGCCCTTTTTTTCTCCCTCCAAAATGGCCGCCCGACCAGGTATTTTTCAAGATGGCCGCCACCCTTTTTTTTAAAATGACCACCACTTGGACTGGCGAAATGACATGTCAACTTTATATGGGCTAGATGCAACAGACAAAGAGGCCAAGATGATGTTACTGTTTAAAATTGATCCTTTTTTAGGTTTAAAAACAGAAAAACAAGAGGTGGCCTTCTAAAAGGAAGCGGGCGGGGACGCTAAACATGTTTTTTTTTTATTGGCCTTACAGCGACCCCAATTTTTAAGACAGAAAGCTCTACTACCACTCAAATCAAAGCTCATGATCTCGGGCAGTTTTCGCTTTACAAAAAAGTTTGTATCTAACAAATTGAGTTTTTTTGTCTCAGAATATAGGGCGCAGTCACAGGATTTGGGGGCGTCCTTAAATTAATATAGCCCCCGATAAAACGAAAGTGGATAAACTACTTGGGACCAAACATATTTGTTCTTGTTTACCCATCCTATCAAGACGATAAAAAGTGAAAACAGGTCACGATGGGACAATTTTTGAGAGAGCAGTGGCCCATTCGGACAGGACCTGTAATTTCCCAGAAATAATTAAGAGAAAGCGGATACGAACATGAACAATGTGAGATTTGGTCGTGCATAGCATGCATGCACTGTACCCCGACTCGTTTCCGTGCTAAACGGTACGGGCCTTGAGACACCAGTCTGCTCTAACCGTGGAGCTACGGGTTAGAGCAGTCTGCTCTAACCATGGAGGAATATTCCTCCATGCTCTAACAGACCTATAATACCTTAATTCCGAAACAAATCTAAGAGGACACTTATTTATTTATTTGCAGTCTTACTTAAACAGGGTGGCCTCCTCAGTTAAAAACCTGCTTTCCTTGAGGGCCCTGTACAAAAAAAAATTAATAATTAAAACTATGAACCAGTTAATTATGTAATATTTAATATAAAAAAATACAAAAAAATACAGATGATAAAAATGTAAACATAAATTAACGTTAATTGTTTAAGCAAATAATATAAAGTAATAAAAAGCAATACACAAGATAACAGCGTGCTAAATTAATAACGTATATGCAATAAAAAATAAAACAAAATCCTACAAAATATTACGACAACATGAACATAATAAACATGTACAATCATATCAGAATAGAATGATAAAACACATTTACTAGAAAACCAAAAAAATAAAATGTTCCACAATTCAAAGAAGTAAATTAAAACAAACAAATAAAACGGGACGTCATTAGAATAAACAATTAGGCATATCAGCAAATAAATGAAATAACAAAACATAAAAAGACAGATACAAGCCCATAACAGTGTAAAGTAGACCATAATATGACTTATATAAAACACATCTACTTTAAAACCCAAAAAATAAAATTATAAAACACAACCACTGGAAAACCAAAAAAAGTAAAATGTCCCACAATTCAAAGAAGTAAAGTGAAAAAAAAACACCAGAAATGCATTGCGTGGAGGATGAAATACAGGATGTAAAATTGCTTTTACTGTTATTTTTGTTTTTGTGCTACTTGCCCCTCACTGAGTGAAACAAAAACACTATCACCTGCAAATATGGCGCCATTATCCAGGCAGCAACGGCCTGTATCGTGGGCGCTATAAAATTTTGGCAGCCTTTCAAATAAAGATGCATTGTTTTGCCGTGGAATGTATCACAAAGTTGACAGTTTTGCTGCCTCTCAACCAAAGATACATTGTTTTCCTGTAGAATTTCTGAAAAAGTGCTTTTGTCAAAACAAGATGCATTGTTTTGCCTTGGAATGTGTAAACCACATATGACAAAAAACGCACGGAATAAGAGTGCAACTTTATGTAAATGGTTATAAGTATAAGAAACTGAGCTTTTAACAGTCTAAAAAATTCAGAATTTAAAAAAAATGTAACTGGCACAAATCTGTGGAAAAAAAAAGAAACACAACGGTATTTAAAGCTTAAAAATGGCAAAAGATGGAACTTCAAAGTCTTTTTCTCAAAATGATCATTTTCGAGTTGCATTGCTTTGCCTTGGAAGGGCCGACTGGCCTACACTGTCTCACATCGAGTGATCGAGTCACTACAGGCCTGTAACACTGCCATGCACAGTTGACTTGCATATACGCGGGCAGAAACTGGGGCCAGGGTGAATCCTTCATTAATCACAGAAAAAGGCCCCCCTATCGATGAATGAGGTGCAGCACCCCCTCCTCCTTCTCCACCCCCACCACCCAATCCCCCCCTCTCCCACCCACCCCCTCTCCTTCTCCCCTCCCGCCCCGCTTTTCCAATATTCAACGGTACTTCCGCCGATTTGGCTCCGTTGGCAACATGTCAATTAGGACTTGGCTGCATGAAGTAAAGGCTGAAAAATGCAGCTGATACCTGATGCTGGTGTTATACCCGCTTAAAGAAATCACAGTACGCAAAAGAGAACGGAAAGTAGTAAGTACATTTTGTTCACGGGTTGTCACGTCATCACCGTGTACCGTTATTAGCTGTGACTTCTTCGTATGATGGCGGCAGGGGCTCGCCCGTTGCAGACGGTGCCTCGGCCGGGGTAGCAAGGCAGACGTCCTCGTAAGATGGCGGTGGGGGTTCGCATGTAGCACGGTTGCTGACTGCCTCTCGGGGAAGTCTTTGTGGCGTGTTGTTGGTCCTCAAGGCTAGCACCGTTGGGAACGAGGCTGACGCATCGGTGAAAGACGGCGGCGGGTCGTCGACGAAACCGGTGTTCATTTGGCCTCTGAAGAAAATTCAGGGACGAAAAAAGGAGTGAGTTTTTGTTCCTGAGCCGCTTGGTGGCAGTACACACAACCAAAGGCTATAGGCATATTTTCAAACAGTGAAAAGTCACTCTATCCGAGTGACAATTTATTTAGTGACCAACAGAATGTAGGGACCAGACGTCTTAGAGTTAATTTTAGTTAGAATGAAAATGATTCCAGAATCAGTTCAGTAGTTTTTAATTCCAGCGCCATTTTGTGCACCATGCGTAGTCGGGGGTTATTTTGGTTCATTTCCAACAGTGGAATTAAAAGTGAAAATCACTCTAAAAAAAAAAAGGGAATCTGAAAAAAGGAAACTCGAGTGCTATCAATCGAGTCGATTGAAATTAACGCATTTCACTTCACAACGTGGTCCCCATAGTTTCAGTCTGTGTGAGTGATTTTTACACTCTTTGGAATGAGAGTTACAATCATTGTTATCATTTTACCCATTGATTTCTTCGGGAGCAGCTGGAGGTAGGTTTCGGAGCCGAACGACCGGTTCTGGGTTCCGCGTTCTGCGACCGGTTCTGCGACATTTTGAAGGTGGCCCCACGAAAAATACAAATAGGCATATACACCAACAGATCCAGAACATAACTGCGAACAATCCGGAAACAAAGAAAACCCATAGAGGCAGTCCAAGTGTAAACACGAGTATCATGAACACAGAAAAAAAAACCCCCAATGCAGACGTGCATATACAACACCCGAAGGCGTCATCCTTGCAGCTCTCGCTGGTGCACGGCATGGTCGGCGGAGACGGCAGATGGACCCGGTCGGATCAGTCGTCCTGTCGTTGGAAGCTGCGATGGGTGCAAACTGTGTGGCTGAAGTATACACCTATATATAATTTGACGCCACCATGCGTGCATTCGCATTGACTCCGGTCTCCAGTATCATTAAGAAATGCGGCCTCCTCAGATCCGGTCTCTTTGACCACAGACTCTAATCTTTTCCGCGTTCCAGTTGAGGAATGCACAATACAGTGAGTCCTTTTTCATGTTATTATACGGAGGCAACATTTTACACTTTAGGTACAGTCTAAACTAGTTCTGTGAAATCACCGATGTCTTCACTGGTTGTACTGTTTTTGCCACCGACGTTTAATTTCACCGTTCATGACACGAGTATTCTCTCCGAAGCCAGTCAGTTTGTTGACAGTCTATTTTAGTCAATTAACACCTCTTCGATATAAAAATCCCACGCGGAAATTTCGGGAACTTCTAATGCGGGCAAAACCTGTTGGTAGTTTTCCACACAGCATTGTACATGTTGACGTCAACTTCACATTAGACTGAGCTAGATTTGGCGATTTTAATTCAAGTGCAATGGACCATGCACAAACGGCATAATATGTAACAATAGACGATCATATTAAAATAGTTATGCACGCATGCGCATAAGGTTTAGAAACCTATTGGTAATATGTTATTGTTACATGTACATGTTTATCTCAATTCACTACTTGGGTTTTGACCAAGTTTGGGAAAATTTTACTGACAAATTGTTTGCGGGCCATTCATGATGTTGTTGGGTGCACGCCGGTATAGAATATGCCTATAAACCCATCCGCCGAGCTCATGACTAAAAGTTATACCCTCAAAATATTCTATATAAAAGAATTCTGAGAGCCATAAAATTGGGTACTTGAAGATATATGGCAATGAACTATAGTGTCCCGGACTTGGGGCTTCCAATTCTATGCATTTTGGGTGCAATTGGGCTCGAAAGTGGCGCTATTTTGCCACATTGTGGAGGGATTTTTTTTTTCAAGATGGCTACTTTTCCGCTTTGGGAAAAAAATCATCTTCTTTGGGTGAAAATTTCTCGAAAATTCAATTGTCAACCCATCAAAAAAAGAAAAGAAATTAAAGATGACATAGGTAGAAGAAGGCGGCCTTGGATCACCGGTGAAGTAGTCACCCTTACTAGGAAAAAAAAAATCGAACAACCGCTTCAGCCTAGTTCTAAGTGGCAACAATGCCGATCTCTGCATGGCTGAAATACAAAAAGCTTGTATATCCGTGGTTAATACACTATCAGGAAATCTTACAGTCATTTCTTACCAGATTTGGCTAACAACTGTGATACTAATGAGTTTGAGCCGTGAAGAAACTTCCACATCAATAGTAGTATGGTATAACAACCAAAATAGGCGAAGAGATTAACAAAACGAATAGTACTTGGATGCGTTTCGTTTGTAAGTATTCAGCCCTTTGCAGGCCTATTTGATGACCCACTAAGATTTTTGTTTTAAAAATCTGACAGTAGTTCACCACTAACTTGGTTCCGACCACATTTCGAACTCTCAAGCTGCCGGTGTCCCCACCTCCAAAAAAAAACAGCCGCTCCCGATTAGAACCGCCAAGCCATTTATTTTACATTCATAAATTTACCTCAGACAGTTCAGCTATTCCTACTGCTGGTCGAGAGCCCGTCACGTGGCTGGTCTTAAACGGATGATAAAGACATGGCTATAGCTGGTCTTAAACACTTTTCCAAAGTCACAATAAAATGTAAACTCCTAAAAATCCATCCAGTGCCTCTTACCGTTTCATTGGTTGAACGTTCACAATCCTCACGTAAGCATGCGCAATACTACCAGCGAGTCAGAATTGTATAGTTCTAAATTCATAAATACCTCAGACAGTTTAGCTATTCCTATTGGTCGAGAGCCCGTCACGTGGCCGGTCTTAAACGGATGATAAAGACCAGATGGCTAGCTGGTCTTAAACACTTTTCCAGTGTCACAATAAAATGTGGACTCCTAAAAATCCAGTGCCTCTTATCGTTTCATTGGTTGAACGTTCACAATCCTCACGTAGGCATGCGCAACACTACAAGCGAGACAGAATTTTATAGTTCTAAATACAAAACGCAACGCGCCAGGTGCTTTCTGCGCGACATCGCGCAGAACATGATACGTGCGCGTCAATCTCCATAAAAGGGTTGTTTACATCTTACTCGCCAGCTGAACACTCCATTATTTTGCAAGAGGGACGTTTCAAAAAGCATAAAGTGAATTTGTTGAACAAAATCGGGATGTTTTGAACGAATTATATGATTTTTTCTTACATATTTATGAATGGGAATAAATATGTGCTCCGTCGGTATTTATCACTCTGTTTAAGACCACTTAGAGTCTGGGTGCTGATAATTACCCTCGCCTCCGGCTCGGGCTCGGGTAATTATCAGCACCCAGACTCTAAGTGGTCTTAAACAGAGTGATAAAAACCTCCAGAGCACACATTTATTCCCTTATTCAAAACGCAACGCCCAGGTGCGTTCTGCGCGACATCGCGCAGAACATGCTTCGCCTGCGTCAATCTCCATAAAAGGGTTGTTTACATCTTTAATACTCGCCAGCTGAACACTCCATTATTTTGCTATAGGGATGTTTCAAAAAGCATGAAGTGAACTTGTTGAACAAAATCGGGATTTTATGAACGAATTATTGGAATTTTTTTTACCGAAAAGGTATTTATGATGGGAATAAATATGTGCTCGGTCGATATTTATCACTCTGTTTAAGACTGCTTAGAGTCTGGGTGTTGATAATTACCCAGCACTCAGACTCTAAGTCTATAATATTAACGTAGATGATGACATTTCGAGAGAAAAAAAGACAATCGTGAATGATGATGTCACTTCATTATTCTTGTTTTGAATAACGAGAAGAGGTGTGATATGATGTAAATACAATTAAATCTATTAACGAAAACACTAGAACATAATAGTTTCAATTCACAATCTGAAAAACCAAACAAATTAAACTCGAAGGGTATTTTGAGCCGGTGCTTCTTCGCAGGATGGCGGCGGGGGTTCGCCCTTTGCTGGCGGCGTCTGGACCGATGTGATTTAGGGGTAGGGTAAGCTAAATTGCTATAGCGAGCCCAATTTTCAGAAAGACAGAAAACTCATCTACTGCGGCTCAAATCAAAGCTCATTGTCTCAGGCAGTTTCCTATTTACCAAAAAAAATGTATCAAATAATTATGAGATTTCAACTAATTTTTGTCACAGAATAGGGCGCAGTCACAGGATTTGGGGGCGTCCTCAAATTTATAGTGACGTCTCTATAGTCCGAAGTCCCATTGGTCCGACGTCCCATTGGTCCGAAGTCCCATTAGTCCGATGGCCCATCGCTCTATACTTTCCGTTGGCATAAACGTCCAATTGATCCGAAGTCACATGTCATTGGTCTGAAGTCCTATTGGTCCGACACCCCATAGGATTAAGGTTAGGGTTTAGGGTCAGTCAACCTGAACCAGTGGAACTAATGGGACTTCGGACCAATGGGACGTCGGACCAGTGGGACTTCGGACCAATGGGACGTCGGACCAATGGGACTTCGGACCAATGGGACTTCGGACTATCGAGACTCAACCAAATTTATACAGCACCCGATAACACGAAAGCGGATGGACTTGGGACCAAACATATTTGTTCTAAACAGAACAAAAACTACTTAGCAAGTTGATAATAAGCAGGACAAGTTCTTCTCAGAACTAATATCTTCTAAGCAGTAGTTATTACCACATGGTGTTACCGCAAAACCGAAACGATATTTGTTCTTGTTTACCCATTCTATCAAGATGGTAAAAAGTGAAAACAGGGGCGATGGGACCATTTTTGAGAGAGCAGTGGCCCATTCGAACAGGACCTGTAGAGGAACCAGATATACGACACATGAACAATGTCACAGTTCTCAATGGTCGTGCATAACATGCATTCATCCCCTCACTGAGTGAAACAAAAACACTCTCACCTTCCAAGGCGCCATTGTTCAGGCGGCAACAACGGTGGAACCGTAGGGCCATGGGGGCGTTGCCCCTATATACCTCCCCTCCCACTTTTGGCAGGGTCCCAAAATAGTGCACTCTATATAGACAGGTCCGAAAAATGGTGTACATTAGCCCTATATCTGGGTAAACATAAAAAGGAATTAAGTTCTCTGGCCTTATAATGTCTCTGGACACAACACGATCGATCGCTTTCACTGGCCTATACACTGCATGCACAGTTCACAAGGCATATACGCGGTGGAAGTTGGGTTGTCACGTCATCACCGTGTAACGTTATTAGCTGTGACTTCTTCGTATGATGGCGGCGGGGGCTCGCCCGTTGCAGACGGTGCCTCGGCCGGGGTAGCAAGGCAGACGTCCTCGTAAGATGGCGGTGGGGGTTCGCATGTAACAGGGTTGCTGACTGTCCCTTGGGGAAGTCTTCGTGGCGCGTTGTTGGTCCTCAAGGCAAGCACCGTTGGGAACGAGGCTGACGCCTCGGTGAAAGACGGCGGCGGGTCGTCCTCGAAACCGGTGTTCATTTGGCCTCTGAAGAAAATTCAGGGGGAAAAAAGGAGTGCGTTTTTGTTCCTGGGCTGCTGGGTGGAAGTACACACAACCAAAGGCTACAGGCATATGACAATTTATTTAGTGACCAACAGAAAGTAGGGACCAGACGTCTTAAGAGTGCAATTCACAAGAGTTTCCACCTGACTGAGATATTTTCAGTGTATTTCCAACTAAACTTAAGGTAATTTTCACTCTTCATCGTTTGGTGCCTATTTTCATTCTGGAATTTAGAATAAAGCGCCTGAATATTGTGAAATTTACCACGCCAAATCGATTTGATTGGCTCAGTATCATTCATGTGGGCACGTGGTTATGAATGGCCGTTTATCATTCAGTAATTACAAAGTGGCTTGCACAGTGCTTAGAAACGGTGTCTGTATTATGGCTTGAGTAAAAAAAAAAAAACGAAACCCAAATGTCGGGACTATTGTTTGAGTGAAGTTTTGCATGTAGCACTTTCAAAATTTAGGATACATGAAAGCCCAATTCATAAGCTTTCTTTAAGTACAAGAATCATTCAAAAAGGTAAGTGTTCTTTCAGCAAAACGAAAACAAATCACATAGGGATGTGTGTGAATTGTTTCCGTTTTGCTGAAAGAACGCGCACTTTTTTTTCGTGATCCGTGGATAGAACTTTAAAACGGTGGTTGTGTTAAAAAATTCCGTAACTTGAAAAGTACATGAGTGATTTGCATGATTCTTGTACTAAAAGAAAGCTTACGAATTGGGCTTTTATATCTTAGATTTTAAAAGTGCTACAAAAATAGTTGTTCAGACATTTGGGTTTTGGGTTTTTTTTACTCACCCTGTATAATTTCACAGAGTGGAATTTAAAGTGAAAATCACATGGCTGAAACACTCAGAAAACAAATGGAATCAATCACGTGCTAAACCCAATCGACTCCATTGAAATTAACAAATTTCACTTT